TCAATTGAAAGGCAACAGGAAGAAGAGCCACATACGTTGAAAACACAATGGAGTGGAAGCTTAGGAAGACTACTGACATGTTTGGGAAAAAATCTAATTAACAGAAGATTGGATGAAGGTAGAGTTAGCGATAACTTTGCCTACTGCTAAGGCTAACTCAGGAAATACAAGAATACAGCAAGATTAGCAAAAAGGAAATGCCTGGCCTAAGGATCTATTTCTAACCGAAGGTTAGGGATCTCGATTGGAAAACGGGGGGCAGGGATTTTCGGCAATCTAGCGAAGACGTTGTCAGTGAGTGTTGTCTGTTCGAATAAACTAGTACAACTTTGGGGGCCTGGCAGTGAGGGAGCTAGGCAGACGGACAAACAAATCGTCATAGAAATTCAGCGTTACGGCCGAAATGTACTATAAATCCACTTGAGATGCCGCATTCGACCAGAGATAGGCGTCCAACGTTTGCTCAGGTAACATGGATTTAATCAAGGAGACGATCCGTGAATACAATGCCTGATATCTGCAAGTATTGGAATCAGAGCTAGGTGCTCTGCTCGGTAAGGGGGCAGTTTACGTGCTTCTAGAGCCTTGAGAAATAGCGCTTGGAGTAAAACGCACACTGGAACTGGAACCGAATGAGTTTGGTCAATCGGAATGATAAGAATGGGATCTACGGGACCATGAGTGAGATCCGAATAGGATACTCGAGTCGGATTAGCCGATCGAATGAGGGTGAATAGTAGATGTGATTTGGCCTTACTCAATTTGCCAAAAAAAGCTCAGTTTTTGACGTTTGGAATGTAAACAAGTCAGAAGTTGTGATGCGAGCGGTTGGCGGGAGTTGGATAAGAGGGTAACGAGTTGATAGATAGGCCAGGACCGAAAGAGGAGTGATAGTGTAGCTGTTTTCAGCAAAAAATATGTCAAGAGATTGACTTAACTTGTCTCTGACGAGTTCGTAACTTGGTGCGGAGAATGACAAGGCTCATTGATGGTGCCGACTACGATGTCGGCGAAACGTCTGAGAATGTACCTAGTTCATTGTCTGATGCTGGTAATTCGATAACTAATATGGCAGAGGGCTTCGGACAAGCTGAGTTCTACTAATTCGCCCTGACAAGAGGACTAGGTTGCGACATTAAGGTCAACCAACTTCTATATATCGAAAGGAGCTTGCCATCATACCGGGGGCCACACCATCTCGGTCTTTATAAGCACGATTAGGTTTGCAAATATGTGTTGAGAGTTTCTTATTTATTTGCTGCATTATTTATATCCGACGCATTGAACTGGTGACCCTGAATATATATTTTGATTAGAGCCTACTTAATTTTTATTCATATTGTTTTAGCAATATTCATCATATTACATTTTTAATTTGTTGTCCCTTTTCTTAATCATTTTATATTTCCTATAAAAAAATTGGACTGTTAGCTGGCCTTTTCTACAATGAGATGAGAAGTCTCCACAATGCCAATATATTCCACTTAGCCTTGCATTCCAAATGGACTGTAGTTTCTGCCACACCTAGGTCTCATTAGTACCCCAACATAATTTAACACATACATGTATTTGCAATTCCTTACTTACCTTTGATTGAAGATATCACTGCACTCAAACATCTTCAGTGACATAAACGCAATTCAATTTGTTCATACCCTATTTCATGCGCTTTACTCCATGAATTCTTGCTTTTTTTGTTAGTTTTTCATCTTTTAATTCGTTTAGAGCAAATTACATATTGTCTTTGCCTTTACAGATGTGCACAGAATTCCAAATCGAGAGGACTTTGACGACCAAGCGTTTCTCTCTGCGGGGCTTACACTTCCACTCGACACTGTTTTGACTCGATTTCGTAACCAGGGCGGCGCTAAACTGCGATCTGCTGCTACAGCTGCTGCACTTCTCGCGTCCACACCTCGCCTCAATCTCAAAAACTCCCTCAGCATTGCACTTTCGCCTTCAGGCTTTGGTCTTGGACAAGAAGATTCGTCCGGCCCATCGGCAACTACTATGTCCGCTAGCACTGGATCTCGGATTATTGATGGTGATTTTTCGCCCAATGGGTCAGAGTTACTTATACCAGCTTCTTCGTCAGGTATTGACATTACATCAGCTTGTGTTGACCATCTGATGTCGATTTTGGCTGAGACAGAGGGCGAGATCGACTTATCCACTTGGGAAGTGGGTATCCCGACGGTCTCACAACCCTATATTGAAGCGATGGTATCAAATTTTCCAATGCACTCCCAGCCAACTATTGGGGGTCCTGCTAACGTTGCAGTATCCTTGTCCCAGCAATCGCAGCTTGGCTTTTCTTCTACTAGACAACAGAGTGGAATGATTCAAGCCGTTGCCGTGGCTGCCTCATCTCCCCTGAGTGGAGCAGCTAGTGGCAATCCGAACACCAGATCTCGGCAAGTCTCACATCGGTCCTCTGCTTCAAAAGTACTGGCTGGCCATCATCGCGATGGCCCTGGTTCCGTCCAGTGGCTTGATGTGGCTGAGAGAGCTATTGCGCCAGTCCTTTCTGGGAACAATTTTCGACGCAATGACGGTGTTGAAATCGCCACTGTTTCGGGGGGTTGTTTTGAACAAGCCGATGTCTTGGCAACTGATGGGTGTAGCGACTTCGGTCACAGTGATTCATCAAGTGCACATAAATCTTCACTTTCTGGCACGTTTTTAACTCCAAATAATAGATTTACCACCCCAACTCCGCCACTATTGCCTTCACCTTCTATTCCTTTCACACTGGCACGCCAGTACTACTTTGCTATTCAGACGGATAGGCTAGTGATGGGCCGGCGCTTCTCCGTGAGCCGAGTTGACCGGTATGTTTGCTGTTTTTTGCATTTTCAAAATTAATTCTTTATCGAAGCTATGAATTCCAAAATGGTGTGACGTTTTGTGTGGTCGCAGTCTCCTTTAGTTGTATAGAGGTTGTTTGACCTAGTTTTCGCAACTTGGTCATATTGGTAGGAAGACTTAGAGGAACGCACCTAGTCCGGAGTCCATTGTGTGCATGATCATTTCCAAAGTTAGACCGTAGATGTGGTACTTTCCCAGACGCTTCGCCGGCATCGTCAGTGGGTCCTGCCATTCTTAGTACCACACAACAACTCGTCAAAAGAGACAAATGAAGCCTATCCTTAGACCAAACGTGTGCTAAACAGTTGTGGTATCTCCCCTTCTGCCTTAGGCTATTCACATTTTCTATATCCTCCTATCATACCTTCACAGTCACAATTTTTACCGTGCTTATTTTGATTTATTGTGGTGTGCTCCTTCGAGCGGCATTCATGAAAACTCTTCAAACTCCACGCTGTTGTTCTCACCCCCTTCACCCTTGTGCTGGGAACTTGAATGCTCTGGAGTTTATTGCATTAAATGCGGCAACTGTGAGC